ACCTATCATGAAACCAAAAATACTATCTGATTTATTGGCAAAATTTCCATTAAAATTACCTTCGAATATTGGAATACGAATAATGTTAAATTATTATTTTATTTAAAATGTTCCAATAAATGCCTACCTCTTGTAATGCAGTGAAAAAGAGCTGTCATCTTCTGTTTATTAATTATACATTTCTTCCTTAGTTCTCAGAACTTTCTTACCAGATTCAACCACTTCCTTTTCAATGTGGTTTTTTAGTCTCGTTTCTTGAAGTCTAAGTAGGTTGACTTTAGTTCTAAATTACGCTTCGGATTGTTTTTATGTAATTATAGATAGGTATAAATTAATTGATTACCTACACCTAAAACAAACAATAAAAATTTAACGTAAAAAAAGGCTGCGCCCCTTGCACTTTTGGCTGGTATTTCTAATTGAAATAAATGTGTAAACAAATATAGTAAACGAGCTCCCGAGTATGGCTAGAGCATGTGCAAAACCAAATTTTGAAACTGACTATAGATCTGCTTTTATTCCAAGTGCCTACCTAATTTTTTTTATTTTACAGGGTAGGTAGGTAATTACTACCTAAATTAAAATTACGCCTGCGACTTTTAGGCAAATGCAAGATTACCTACTTGGAGCTACAAATTGCCCATCTTTATTAAGTGGGTATACCTACCTATATGATTGCTGCACTCAATGGTTGTCTTGGATCCAGGAAATTTGGGAAAAAATTCAACGAAAGAGAATCGAACACTTCTTCTTCCTTCTGTCATTACGATCTCACCGTTCCATCATCGTGCACCAAGTAAGTAGGTAGCTAGTACAATTTTCAATTGCAATTATAATTCTGTCCAAAATTGTTTGTTGCGACCAATTACCTACCTATACCTAGAGTGACCGGCAAATGCTTTTTGGAAGTGCCCCTATAAGTAGGTACCTATACCTATCCACATTATGTATGATGATTACTGAGAGGCTTTGAAAATCAAAAAATACTGAATTATTAGAAATTGTTGAATTACAAAAAATAGGCAAGAGATACATACCAACATGCTTATATATTGTTAGAAATTGGGTAGGTACTTAGTACCTATAATCCTACCATTTCATGCAATAAGTATAAAAAACTTGGTAGTTCCATTTAAAAAAACCAAGTTAACTTTGATTGAAATTTTGAAAATTCACGGAGTGATTTCCTTTACGACAAAAGAAGTTTAACTTTAGCCGTTCGGCGAATTATAGTAGGTACCTACCTACATTTCATGAATAGTATAATGCTGCCGAGTTACGCCGGCATTCTCAGTAATGATAACTGCGATATTCAATTTTTACTTGACATCATCTACCTACTTTTTGAAAAAGCGACTAATTAGTAATTGATGCGGCTAAACGACTCATTTTAGAGATCATGTGTAATACACAAACTCACACTAAAATTGACCAAGTAGGTAATCGAAATATGTAATAATATACCTACCTAGGTACCTAGGGGGGGTTCCATTAAAAAAAATGCGACTTTGATATATCTATATCTAAATCACCCTGTATAATGTGTCAATTGCAATTTCGTTGAAAATATGTTTAGGTTGTAGCCTTAAGGGGCTTCCAACATGCCCCGCCCCGACATTGATTTTAAATATGTGCGTTTACACAATCTTCACCCACACACTAATGACCCACTCTGTATCTATAATGGCGCATTCAATGGACAGGATTAAACTATAATAAGTATTTAAACCAAATCATACTCTATAGGTACCTATACTATAGGTACCTACTATTGGCATTTATCTCAGCGGCCTTACTTGCCAATTTTGTGTTTTACCTTATTGCTTATAGTCATGGTATTCTGGTCACCTTTGATGCTAGAACTGCAAGCAGCGATGCCATTATCTACCTATAGGTCACGGTCGTCCACATAAGTAACCATTTAGTTTAGCTAAAAAAATCTGCTTGTAGCATCTCTTCCAAGGTAGGTAGGTACCTAAGCAATCCTTTTTATTTAGGTACCTAATTAGTGTAGGTACCTATAGGTATACCTAAGTACCCAAGTACCTTGTAGGTACCTACCTATAGAATTTTCATGTTCTTGTAAAAAAGGGCACGGAATCACCAACTTTTATAATAGAAACACATTTTAATTCTCTACTTTTTCCTGATTCAATAATTTAGATTTTAGAAGATATAATAGTATGGGTAAAGCCTTCCCTTTCTCTACAAAAATTAAAAAAAACCGTAATAAGTATAGGTAAAGTAATTACTATATACCTATACATTTTTCGTCTAGAAGTACCTATAGGTCGGTAAACTTCTCATATCTTAAAGTAGAACGGGTTCTTGGCCTCACTCTCCTGCTAACGAACCCTCCTTCTCGTCATGTACGTACCTCTACGAACCGGTTTTCTGTTGTTGTTTGTAGGTCAAACGTATACTACCATTTTGTTTTGGCAACAGAATACGCGTGGGCGTGGAGGTCATCAGAACATAAACAAATCAGATAACCGCTGAGATTCTTGTTAACGATTGGTTGCATTTTTGTTTGTCCCTTTACTATGGAATTTTGTTAAATTTGCAACTGGTTTTAGTTTAGGAGTGGGTTGATGGGGCTACATGGTCACAGTAACTAAAAATAAGCAAAAATTAGCTTTTGTTTAGATTTGAATATAACAAATTATGCGTTACAACTCTGTACACGAATTCCTTCCCAGTTTTGGAAAAAATCTGTATACGTAGGTACAAGTTTTCTATAAGCGTCATGTTATTAAAATTTGGGGAAATCGTTTGACACAAAGTGACTGACACGTTAAAAGGAAAATGTTTGTCTATATTGTGATTTTAGAGGTTTTTGTTAGCTTTCGAAACTTTAAAGCTAAGCTTTGGAATTTTGTGATAGTTTAGAGACTATATGAAACTTATAGGAATTACCTAGTACGAGGAACTTAAGAGACTTTTGCTGTTACCAGAAAGTTATAGGTTGTTTATAGAAAGTTATGGGATTTCACCTACCTATGGGTAAAATATCTTGGAAACTGTGTAGATAGGTACTTAAGTCCCATACATTTATGGAACTTGGAGAACTTGAAGATAGAATTTTGGGACTATTTTTAGACAATTGTAAACATTTTTAGAGATGACCATGGGGTATGAACTCAGGGTTTACTCTACGGACTTTGGAATCAGAGCTGGGAAGTGCTTTGAAAAAAAGTGCTTGCAAAGGGGCTTCAATTACTTTTAGTGTTGGGAGCACAGTGCTTCAATTACTGTTCAAATTTAGGAAAAGTGCTTGGGGCTTTAAGCTCTATTGATGTGCACATTTATAGAACTTCGAGCACTTCTAAAGAGCTTCAAGCACTTGCCTACAAAGTGCTTCAAGCCTTAAATGGCTTTAAGCACTTCCCAAGGGTTTGGTGCTTTATATTTTCGATTACTTTAGAAAGTGCTTTGTAATTCCAAGGTCTGTCATTACATAAAAGCACTTTTATCACAATAAAGTGCTCGATGCTTAGTGCTTCACTCCGGCTCTGTTTGGAATGTAGGTATATTACCTATGATGAATTTTAGACCTAGAGTGATCGGGTTTGTCATATTGTTTTGTTATATCAAAAGAAGTTACTAAATACGGATTTTCAAAATGATCGGATGAATTTTACTTGGTAATATACTAATAACAAAGTGTTAATTTTAGAGATTAATTTTTTACATTTTTCCATAAAAAACGCTACCTAACAGTTGAAAATGAGCGTTTCGAACCAACTGCATCTTAGCTATAGAAAATTTTATTCTAATAAACAAGTTCATTTCTATATTTAATTCTTTCTCTTAATTCCCTCAGAGCAATAGTCAAATGCGAAAAACACGACATTTTCTAGTTTTTTCTTCGTTTTTTGTTAATAACAATAGGTACCTAAGTATGTTCCGGCCGTTTCCGGCCAGGGGGACTATGATTTTCCGATTCAGCGGATTTTTTTTACATAGGATAGGTACCTACTTGGTTTCGTTGAGTGAAATTACAACATCCAGTTACTACTTTTAAAGCTAATTTGACTGGACTATAAGTACCTAGACGTTATAATCAAACGAGCGACACAGGGACAGACAGACCGATAAAGAAAATATTGTACCTATCTAATGCTATAAGTATACCTAAGGTAGGTGCCTATTTATTTAAATGGAAATCTTTTTACCAGTTGGCAAAGTTATTTTGGGGTCAATGAACTCAAGTATATGAGTCCAAATCACTCCAAAGTTTTCAAGGGCAACCGGCGCAACTGCCAAACCCATTGTATAAAACGATCACGAGCTCCGATTTTCTGTACACTCCTATGTTTACGTCGCCTTTTTGTAATCATTGCGAATTGAACGAAATTATCACCGGCAAGAAGGTAATAAAAATTCAAAACAGACGCAATTCGAATCGAATGTTTTGGGACGGATAGTATCTTAGCACACGAATTCAAAATGCGCGCCAATCGCGGCTTTCCGGATTGGTGTCGCGTCTTCAGGTAGAGCTTTTCATTCTAGCTTGAGCTTACAAGGTTGCAAACGTTTGAAGATGATAACTCGTTTAGTGCAGCGGTATTAATAATTTCTTCATTGATTTACTTTTGATGCAATCACCTAAATAAAGTAATTATAGGCGTTTTTAGTTGAGGGTGTATCGATTTAGCATCGATTGTTTGGAAAACTTGCGATCGCAAGTTAACCATCATGTAGCGTCTGGGGTGAGTAGGTTCCTATTGATTCTACTTAGGTAATTATATTTTCACAGCGTAATCAATTAAACATAATTAGGTATATGTAGTATAGGTACTTTGATTTGAGGTGATTTTATATGCCCATTTTCGTTAACAATTATCGTTCCATTGCGCATATAGACGCTTAGTAGGAAAGAGGGGTGGGTAATTTTGCTCAAACGCGTTCTCTCATTTTTCTTTTACGTGAATTGCATTAGGTAGGTAATTATTCGCAATCCTAGAAATGTGATAATTTTACAGCTTGCGTTAGAAAATCGACAGCATCCTGAAAAACGGTCCGCATTGCTATCCCATGAGGTGATGGAACATTTACGTACCTAAAACGAAACTTGCGAGTGCATTATGGTCAAGATGGCGTCCATGACAAGCGGGTTTGTTACCTAGGTATACCTACCTGATGCAATCGACTTAGACGTTTGGGGTGAGTAGTTATTGAATTATTAAATCCTTAGGTATAAATACACCTTTTAATCAATCTGTATATTAAGGGTATCTGTACCTGTACCGCATCAAATCTGGTAAATTTTGCCATTTTACCATGAGCGTATGCGGTGAGTAAGGTATTGAGATCCTTAAATTTTGTTACTAATAGCATTTGCATATAGCGTAAACAAGGGTTAAAAGCGAGGTTAAAAGGGTTCAAATTAGTTATCTAGGTACATATTTTTATTTGAGGTGATTCGAATGGTGTCCATTTTCGACCAAAGCCGTTCTATTGCGCACATCAGACGCGTTTAGCGAGGGGGGTAGGCAATGTAGCTCAACGCGTTCCCTCATTTTTCATCTTTTCCTGCATGAATTGGCGTAAAAACGTGTTATTAATTAATATAGTCATCCTATAATATCTACTTATACCTCGACTTATACCTAGTGATAATTTTACAGCCTGCTTTAATTCTTAATTATAGAAAATTGACCAGCGCCATCCTGAACAATGAACATTGAACTTGGGAGTCGTTCATGGACAACGTCCGCCATCTTTTCCAGTCTGCGTTACCTACCTATCTGATGCAATCGGATTAAATGCGTTTGGGGTGAGTAGTTACCTACTGAATTATTAACCCTGCCTTAAAAACGTTTTATTAATTACTAATATAGTGATAATTTTACAGCCGGACTTATAATTAGAAAATTTACAACATTCCTGCATCAGAATATGGACATCAAAACGAGCCGTTAATGGCCAACGTTCGCCATCCAGTCCCAGTCCAGTCAGCAAGTGCTGAAATCGGATTAAACGTTGAGGGGTGAGTAGTTACTGAATTATTAATCCAACACCGATCATTAGGTACCTACCTAACCTGCTTTAATTACCAAATCTTGTATTAAATTAAAAGAGGCATGAATTCGCACAATCTACCTATAGGTAATAGGAAGAGGGTTTCGTTTTGATTTTTGATAGCATCATCTCATTGGGTTTTTTTTAAGTACTGAGGGTTTGATTTAACAGGTGCATTAGTTTGTGAGCTGTGCCCCCCCTTATCATGTTGTCTACCTACACCTACCTATCTACTTAGGTTATAGATTTCTGCTCCAATCGATCATTATCTAAGTATATATTATAAAGGAGTTTACTTAAGTAAATTGTGTATATTTGTCCAAAATTCGGTTGATCGTAACCCCTTACTTCCTTGGGCAATAGATAGGTAACTGCGATTTTAATGCAATACACCATGTTTTAATTTAAGTAGATGAGGTGATTACCTACCAATCATTTGTGACTCGACAGAAATTGAAACCTTTTTCCAAGACTGTGAATTTTTTTTGTCTAATCAACCCTTTTTTTCCCTTGGTCAATGAATGGGTTATGTGTTGTAAGTCAAAGTTTTCTAATGTTTTCGTATTTTTTAGCTGGACTAATTTTGATGCTGTGTCAAAGAAATCGATCCAAGGAGAACCTACGCTGACAAAGAGCTGGCCTTCCCGTACTCCCAATGTGCTCGTGAACTCCACTTCATTGTGCCAGCCTATGCATGAAAGGTGTGTTACGCAATGGCTATAATGTTGGCATGAACCAGCCTTACTCTGAATGTCCTAATTACTTTTGTTTTTTATGTTATTTATTTTAAACTGATATCGTGCTGTTAGCAAGGTTAGGTAAAGTATATGCATTTCCGATACCAACCTCCGATCAAAATTTTCCAAATTCTTACGATTATTATCTCAGTAGGTACCTACCTATACTCTTTAATAAAGATAAATGCAATTGTTTTTGGAACAACCCTTGCAAGTAGGTACTCGCCTTGTACCTACACACCCTGGAAATTGAAGGCTCTCAAGCAGTCCAGGGTTGTTTAAGGTGCTTCCGAGTGCACTGCGTGGTGCGCTTTGATCTACGATCAGAAATAAAAATAGGGAAAACAAAAGTATTTCCTTAAATGATGCATTATATTAAGTAGGTACCTACTGAAGTAGGTAGGCAGATGATTTTTGGTAAATTAACATTTTCTATATGGTTTAATAAGAAACAATTTATTGTTCCATAGTTTATGTTTGAACTAAAGAAGGTAGGCAACACATCAGACAATTTCGCTAAAGTCTTTTCAATCTGAGATATTTTTTAAATATCAAATGCTTCTTTGTATTGTTGTACCTAGTGGTGTTTTTAAAATATTAGTTTCTGGTGAGACTTGTCGCTTTACCTACTAAGGTAGACTAAAATTGTCATTTTAGAATTAATTTCCTTTAACGTGAGCAGTGAACATGTCATTAACAAAAATGCCTCATTTAAGAACACCCTTTATAAACCTTATAATTACTTTGATAATTTTCCATTGCAGTCCAAATGGTAATCTTGCATCAAGAAGTTTAAGGAGAAAATTCAACTAAAGCCGGTCTACGCAGTCCTACGAGTGCCAGTCATTACGATCTTGCCGTTCCATTATCGCATCAAAGAGTACTCTGGGTTATACTCTTTGATTGTCATGCAGGGAGGTAAGTACCTAGTACACTTGATTGTAATCATTTTTGGAGAACTGGGACATTAACTTCAGAAGCACTTGTTACCTTCTTTATCATTAAACGAGAATGGTTGCCCTTGTGTGATCAGGGTTTGCAAGGGTAGAATTATAGATTTCTTGATCTTAAAGTATTGTCTGGTTATGAAATTTAAAAATAATATCGCGTTTACATAGGGGTAGAAATGAGTGATGAGCATGTTGGGTTAAATCTAAGCATCTTTACGTGCTGATTCCTTTATCTTTAGTCTAGGAGCCCAAAGAGTTTGCGGAAGAGGGGGTACGACATGTATGACAAGATATGAATTTTTTCTTTAATTTTTGGGTAGGTGTACCAACTACTTGAATTTTTTGTACCTACACCTAATTTTATGGATGTTCCCCCACGAGAAAAACAACTCACATTTCTGTAGACATCGAGTTTTCTGGAAAAGACTTTCAGTTTTTGTGTTAAATTTAAAATTTTCGATTTTTCGGAGTTTAAATTCTTAAATAGGCATATTCATTTTATTTTGTTTCTATACCTTTTTTAAATCGCCAATTTTATGAATCTTTAATTTTCTAGTTTTTTAATTTTTCGAATTGTTTAATTTTCCGGATCTGTTTTTTCTCAATTTTTAAAAAATTTCTGAATTTGAATTTTTTTAAAATTTTATTTACCTACAGTATTATGGTAGCAATGTAAGACCACTTTCATGATATGAATTTCCGCCAATTAGCTGTTCCAGTGGCGATAGACTTTACTCTTAGAGCTGCAGCAGGAAAATTAGAGGTTTAAAAATCTGAAATTAAAAAAAATAAAAAGATCAAAAATTAGATATTAAAAAAAACTAAACAAGTCATTTTTAATTTTTAAGATTTTTCAATTTAATTTTTTTCTTATTTTTTGAATTTGAATTTTTGTGTAGATACCACTTTATTTTTTATATAGATACTTATACAGGATTAAGTTAGCAATGTAAACAAATTTTTTTTTAATTGTGCCATACATTTTTCGATTTTGTGTTAATTGTTTGAATTCATCGTTACATTTTGTGTGTCCCAGGTTTTTCGAACTTTTACATGCGCTATTTTTTTTAATTTTTAGTTTTATAAAGTTTTCTTATTGTTCATTTTTGAAATTTTTTGATTAATTTTCTTATTTCTTCATTTTTCGAATTTTGTATTTGTTTTCTCATTTTTCTTAAAAGTTTTTTTTAATTCAAATTCATAAATTCTTTTTCTGTAGGCAAAAATAATTTTTGGCAACCCTTTTAATTAATTACCTATAGTTTTTAGTCTAGGAGTCGAATTCGAAAGTTCAAAAAACTATGAAGATATGAATTTGTTCTTTAATAATTGAGTACACCTACATGAATGTTGTGCGCCTACTCCTAATTGTATAGATCCAGATTAGAATGTCCAATCCAAATAGACTCGGAATTTATGAGAAATTTTTTCTCAACTTGCGCCATAGGTATATTTTAATTTTTCGGAATTTGTGTTAATTTTCTACATTTCCATTGCCACCTCGGATAATACGGAATTTAAGACCTATGAGCCTCGGTTAACACTGACTATCGGATAATCGGGGCTCGGATAATAGGGGTTTTTCCTGTATTTTGAATTTTTAAAAGCTTTTAACTGTTGAATATTTAGAATGTTTAAAACTTTTTTTTTAAATAGGTATCCTTGCCGTTTTTTGAAACTTTCTCTGTGCTAATTTTTTGTACACTATTAAGTAAAATTATTATGTATTAATTATGTAAAACCATTTTAATGATATGAATAATTTTGCCTTGTGTGAGAATTGCCGCCAATTAGCTGCTGCAGTCGCAATAGACTTTACTCTAGAGGTGCACTGCTGGGGATATGAAATAAGATTTTGTCAATTAAAAATCTGAAAATTAAAAAACTCGACATAAAAAAATCAAAATTAAAAAATTAGATATTTAAATGTAAAAAAAATCGAACAAAACATTTTTTGAATTTTTTTCAATCTAATTTTTTTCTTCCTTTTCTGAATTTGAATTTTTGTGTAGATACCGCTTAATTTTTAGCATAGGTAGATACACAGTATTAAGTTAGTAATGTAATAAATTCATTTCTCAATTGTACCATAAATTTTGAATTTTCCAATGTTGTGTTACTTGTTTGAATTTATCGTTACATTTTCTGAATGTTTATGCGCTCTCAGTGTTTTTATTCAAATTGTTGATTTTTTTCAATTTACTTTTTATACCTAAATTGTAATTGTTTGTTCAGATTTTTTGTATTTGTAAATGCGCTGCGTTTTAAATTTTTACTTTTATAAAATTGTAATTTTCTTTTTTAATTTTTTGATTAACTACCTAATTCTCTTATATTTTCATTTTTCGAATTTTTTAATTTTTGGAATGTTTGTTGTTTTTCTCATTTTTCTTAAAAGTGTTTTGAATTTGAATTTTTGTTTAAACACCACGTTATTTTTTGCTTTCTATAAATTTTAAACAATTTTTTGTCAGTTTTTTGAACCTTTATTTTTATTTTTGAAATTTAAATTTTTTGAAATTGTTTAGTTTGTTTTTCAAAATTTTTCTTAAAGTTTTGCCGAATTTGAATTTTTTTGTTTCAGTTCTATAAACCTAATTTTTTGCATAAATTTTTTGAATTTTAATATTTTTTGAATTACCTAGTTTTTTTTTCGTTTTAAAACAATTTTTTGAATTGAAAGTGAACGCATCCGAATTGAGTAGGTATAGGTAGGTACCTACCCAAGCAGCCGAAATGGACTCTATACTATTATGGTTCTCTTTTTTAAAGTTGCCCGGCCATTTGATTAAACTGCCACCGAAAGAGTTCAAAATCATTATAAAAAATGTATGTGATTGGATATCTGAAATATAGGTAGTAATTTGTACCTACAATTAGTTTTGAAAGTGATACTTTTTTTCATGGATTCGCAGTTCATTCATGAAAATAACGCACTTTCAACACGTGTTGTACTTACAAATTTTTTGGGGTATAGCCTGTTTACATTACTGTATTTCGGCTTTGTTTTGTTTGCACCTAAATTCGTTCTGTTTTCATTAGATAGGTATCCTACCATACACTTAGCTTATAGGCAATACGCACATTATGATCACTAAATTTTGACATGATCAATTTTCTATTCTTTATAGGTACCTACTTACTTATCTACTTATATAATTTGGTAGATACCTAGGTACCTATAGGTACCTACCCAAGTAGTTATTATAATGGTAATGTCGTTATTTTAAAGTCGAAAGTCATTTACATAAACATTGCCTATGCTATAATGAATAAATAATGGCATCCTCTCATGCGCATGTAAATACGTAAAAGTGCACTTTACGATCCGGTTTTCTGTTTACGTTGGAGGATAATAACAAGTAGCCATTTTGTTCACTGTGCCTGTGGGCGTGGAGATCGTTAGAACGGTACAAATCAGATAAAGTGTGGGGTTCCGGGAAAATCTTGTTAATGATTGGTTGTGCTGTGTTTCTTTGTTAACTTAGGAGTGTGGATCAAATTTGTAAGTTGGTTTTATGAGGGGAGTTGCTCGGCAAAAATAACTTAAAATGATCAAACATATAGCTTTTGTTCGTTTTGAATGCACTAATTATGCGGGTAAACCTATACCTACCTATATAGGTAGGTACAGGAATTCATGGTAGTGATGTTTTTGACAAGAATAGTAGCAGTAGGTAGTTAAAAATTTTGAGAAATTGGTTTTGCGAACTGAATTGGTTTAGCACATGTAAAAAGTTCTAATATGCAATTTACGGATATTAGAGACCTTGGAAGGTTTAGCAAGTTTTAGAACGGGAAACCTTAAACGCTTCAGATAGGTAATTTGGAGACCAGAGGTACATTAGGGTTAGGTCCCTACTTATTTTTTTAGAGATTTCGGAAAGTGTATAGAATGCTACATATATACACCTAGGTACATCAGGCTGATTATACGAGGGTCACTACCTATGGGAATCTCGGAAACTGATGCGTAAAAGATAGGTATAGGCTTGAAATCACGAATCTTTGTCCCTGCGTCATTGATTTGTGAATCAATTTCAGACATACGCTAAAACACTGTAATACCTATCTGTCAAGTATGCGAAATCGATAAAAAACTTGTCTGAAATTGATTCACAAATCAATGACGCAGGGACAAAGATTCGTGATTTCAAGTTTAGTTTAAATTTGGCAAAGTTGCGTATTTTGATGCTTAATAAAATGCTGCTTTGAAACTGAAAAAAAAAACGACTAAGTGCTTTCGGAGATTTTGCAAAATCGTTCTTATTTTTTACCGAAGTTGCCTACTTAGGTAGGTAGGTACCTACTTATAGGTATTTAAAAAGATAGGTATTTCAAAATATGACACCTTAGGTATTATGGCCACTCTTTTCCTTCTACAAAATGTTTTAAATTTTAAGTCTGACGTTTCGTCTCCGGTTAACCAGCATCAACTTTATTTTTTCTTATGAAAGTCATTTTTACTTTCTGTGCAATTTGATAAAGCATTTTTTCCTGATCTCAAAAATGTAAACATCACTATTTTTTAAATAGGTAGGTACTTATTGTTAATATTATGTTCTTTTTTGCTTGGCAAACTTTGTCTTGGATAGTGTGATTATTATATGTTGTTAGTTTCTTGCGTTTTTACGAATTAATAGCGCCACTTCTTATTAAACAATAGTTATGTTTACATTTTTAAAATTGTCTCCTGAGCCTGTATAAGTAGGTATACCGTGTCCAAGGTAAGGATGTCTATCATGGGGGTCTCCGAAACCAGGAGATACGACGATGGTCAAAATAGAAAAAAGATGCGCAATTAAAGAGTTATTATCATGCTTTAAAGAAATTCAGATTACCTACCTACCTATACTTCCGAAGATATACCTATCAGAAAAACCGATTTCGTTATATTTTGGGTAGGTATTCTTTTATGATGTTATTTGAACAGTACAAAAAATAAAAAGAAAACGCTTTCTCATTGCCACTTTTTGAGCTCTATACAAGACAGTGTTAAGAGATTTTCAATACAACGTTTCGTTTCCGAGAAATCATCATCAACTTTATTTTTTTATATGGTCCGTAAAAAATTTTACAGGCCATAGGTATAAAAAATAAAGTTGATAATGATTTCGCGTAAACGAAACGTTGTAGGTATTGAAAACCTCTGAACGCTGTGTTGTAGATCTCAAAAAAGTGGCAATGAGAAAGTGTTTATTTATTTTTTTGTATTTGTTTAAATATATACCCATATAGGTATAGGTACCTAGGTAAATAACATACCTATAGCTAATAAAGAACCATATTGAGCCCTTCTTGAGGCCCATAGTTGTATTCGTAATAAAAAATGCTACTTAATAACTGTAGTAGGTAGCTATATACCTTATATGTAGGTACCTATATAGATAGGTATACTTTTTTTCTGATGGGAATATAAAAATATGAAGTTGATGGTTTTTCAAAGACGAACCGTTGCGCAGTGAAAATCTGTGTAGGTAGGTACATAATCGTGTACCTAGAGCTTAAAAGTTCATACGGAAGTGTTACTTGTTGTTTGATATCTTTTCAAACAAGATAAAAAAATAAACAAGAATATGTAGGTACCTACCTACCTATCTATACCTAGGTAGGTATGTGTTATTTCGTATTTTTTCGAATACCTATCTTCAGAACTGATCGGAATTTCCGCATTTTTAACATCTTTTTTCTAAGCCCTGAAATATACGCAACATTTTTGCGTAATAGGTACTTATAACCGAACCGAACCCTTATGCTGTTCATTCTTATCTTGGATTATAGGTACATACTAGGTATTCGCGGGAAAGGACCCCCGGACCCCAAGATTTTGTTGGGGGGCATGCAATTTCCCCAAACCCCCACGAAAGCGCAAGTTTTAACTTCCGCCAAGGGCGCGGATTTTATAGATACGGCCCTGCCTGCTTTTGTATACCTATACATGATACGCGTTTTCCATATGGTATACGGTATATAAAGTGCGGATGTATGTTATTTACGCATCATAGGTCCAAAAGCAGCACATAAATTTTAAGTTTGTGTCCTTGAGTAATTTTTTTAAAAATAGTCTGGTCCCCCATCAGAAGCAGTTACCAGCTGGGTGTAAAATTTCCGAGCTCATTGGTATACTTAACAGATTGATATGATTATTTACGTCATTTTGATTTTGAACCTATGGTAATCACGCGATGTACCTACCTATTCCACGTCTCTGTGCACTTATTCCTATTTACGATTTTTTTTTGTTATACATATAGGTATTCCTGATGGGAATGTATCTACCCTATATAGGATAGTAGCGCGAAGGTAATAGATAGGTACCGCTAATTGGAATCTATAATGCAGACGTAATTCCTAGAAAAATTCAAAACATGTTGCAAATCCCCCCCATCGGATAGTATCTTGGCGCGTTTTTTCAACAAATGCACCAATCACGGCGTTACAGACGTCAGGCCACTTTCGTTCCACCAAATGTGTAAACAAACCAGCTTTTTTATCTATAGCTACGAACGCGTTTGCAGTGAAGCCTTCTTTAGTGATTAACTTTGAATGCAGCTGTACGTAAATAAGTATAGGTACGTAATTGCATAAAGCCGTAAGTGAGATCTCCACACGTGCGTACACAGTAGAAATTTTTTGCAAATTTTGCTATCAAATTAACGGTCTGCGGTGAGGGATTGCGTCTGTTTATTGAAAGTATTAATTTACTTTTGTCTATAAAGAGGGCTAAATTTTACGCGTATTTTTCAACCTATAACGACCGACCGCTCTATGCGCGTCGTAAGATTTCTTAAGGCAAAATTCCTGGAAAAATCGAACCGAATGTATTGGAACGGATAGTATCGTAGCCGACTTGGCAACAAATATACCAATCGGCGCGTTCCGAATTGAGGTGATTCGCGGCTTTCAAAGCTTTGCTTCGGCTTCGCTAGCATCAGTCGATCAGAAACGTTTGCTGTGATAATTTAGTTAGTGATGTTTAGTGATTTCAATGCGCGATTATCTTAGTAAAGTAGATATAGGTACTTAGATGGTTAATTACTCAACTTTTTGTTAGCTGCGAGCGCGTTAGGTACGTATTGCGATAGAATTTGAGGACATTCGAAGGGCGCGTGGTTTAGTGAGGGGGGTAACGCTAGCTCAACGTTCCCTCATTCTTATTCCCGTTCTAGACGCGTTACCATCAAAAACGTTTTATTAATTAATAGCCATCCTAATATCGCGATAATTTTACAGTTAGAAAATCAACAGCAGCGCGGGAGGTTATTCTTATTTGATGGAAGATGTCTGGAAAGTTTTACAGAAGACAAGTGCGCCAAATCGGAGTCGTTTCTCGTTTACCAGTGGTCGGCCATCTTGCAGTCTTTTAGCGTTACCTGATGCAATCGGATTTAACGTACGTTTTAGGTAAGTAATCATTGGCCAATTGACTTAAATAAGTAGTTAATTACTTTTAATTACCTTATGCATAGCATACTAGGGATGATTATATCTACAATTTGGGTATGTAGGCAAATAGAACTTGTAAATTTTTGATGGCGTTTTTGGGCGTTGGCTGTAATTACCTAAGTACCTATATAATTTTTTAAATTTATAATTGAGGGCCAACGCACATAATGGACTGGCATTATTAATTAAGGGATTGTTGGTTACATTGTTCCCTGGCACAAATTGCACTTGATTATTACCTATCTTCTATCTCAGAGTAGGTGGCTATCTGTAATAAGTATAATAATTTTTCAGCTTCGTGTAATTGGAAGCTGCCATTGTTAAGACAATCCTGCTGAAAGTGAATCCCGAAGGTTTGCCAACAAATCCTACGGAAGAGTGCAATCGGACCCTTGGCAGCCGTTTTCTCGGGTCTGCCGTTGCCATCACGTTACCAACGAACTATAAAGGGGTAAGTACACTACTTATATGTAGGTACCTACCTAGGCATTCTAATTTCAGTAGTTGTAATAATTAAAAGTGGGTTGTGACTTGAAGCATTCTTTTCGTAACGACATCTGCACGAGTGACATTAATTTTTTATGGTTTTAGAGTTGCTTGCAACCCCTTATTAGGTAACTTTACCGATAGATGCCTAATTTGAATGTAAGTAAGACGGGGTAATTATCAATTGTTTCGTGTCCTACCAGAAATTTTTGTAAAATTTTAAAGGTCTCGTGCTTCTACGTTTGCAGAATAAATCCTTTACCGAGGATGTGAAATTAATTTTGTGTTATTTCGGGTACCTACACTTATTCATTTGACCTGTTTTCCCAATTGTTTTCTGCCCCTTCAGAAATGTTTGTACAATTTTAAACATTGATTACAACCTCCTCTTCTCTTGGCCAATAAATCGGGGTTGTATTGTATAACTAGATGGGGTGATAACCAATCGCTTCTGTCTGTATAGAAATTGAATGGTCATGGTTTTCCAAGAGTGTAAAATTATAACCCTCCCTTTATTCATTTTACCAATGATGGATGGTCCTTTTAAAGTAGGTACCTAAGGAGAATTGGGGTGATTCTCAATTGTTTCCTGATGCCTTTTCAGAATTTAAAGTAAGTACCTAGGTAGTTGGGGTAATTTCCCAATGTTTTCTACCCCTTCAGAATTTGTTGTGAAATTTTAAAAGATAATTGCAACTTTATTGGCCATCAATCAGGATTGTATTGTACATTTTCTAATAGTGTCATACTTTTAGCTGGACCGATTTGGATACTGTGTCAAAGAAATCGATCCATGGAGACTTGAAGCTGCTAACGACCTAGCCGTCCCAATATTCATCATGTGCATGTGAACTCCGCTTAATCCCACCAGCCGGTGCATGAAAGGTGTGTTACATCACAATCGGTACATATACCTATAATGTTGCCGAATTGTATCTAATCTGAATGTCTTATTATTTTTATTTTTATATTACCTATTTATTTTACCTAAACTAAAATCATGTCGTAGTTAGGAAAAGCACATCACTTATAGTGTACTAGCATTCCTGAGTAGGTATCAACCTCTGATTGAATTTTTCAAATTATATTAATGCAATTATTAGCTACCCTTAAATAAAGATAACTGCAAAGGATTTCTGATCAAGACTTGCAAGTACTTTGTACACACCCTGTAAAAGGCTCTCAAGCACTCCAGGGTCGTTTAAGGTGCATCCAAGTGCACTGTGCTTGCATACTCCTTTAAATATGTGTGAATATTTTAAATTATAACTCTCGCCAGGAAAGATTGCCGGTCACAGCACACCTTGTGTCGATTTACAATCTTTGTTTTTCTTAAGATGCGAGCACCTTCCGGAATAGGATCGTGCCAATGTTGAATGAAAAATCTTTTTGTTCAACATTGACACGATACTATCCCGGAAGTCACTCACATCTTTAGAAAAACATAGATTGTAAACCGGCATCAAGTGTTCTATGATCGGCAATCTTTCTTGACGAGAGGTTTATAATGTTTTGTGTCTTGTCAGAAATTTTTGTACAGTTATAAAAGTTGATTACAATCTTTTCTTCCCCTGGCAAATGAATCAGGATTGTCTTGCAAGTAGGAGGGGTGGATACCAATTGTTTCTGCCTGTGCAGAAATGGAAATCGTTTCCAAGAGTGTAAAATAAATTTTTTGTGATTAGGTACAACTCTTTATTCATGAATGGAATTTTAGGGTACTTTAGTAGATGGGGTGATTCTCAATTGTTTTGATGTACCTACCCCGTCAGAAATTTTTGTACCTACGATTTTAAAAAATTCATTAAATTTTTTCTTTTCCGTGTTATTGAATCGAAGTTGCATCGTAAGTAGATGGGGTGATAACCCATCGTTTCTGCTTACGCAGAATAGAAATCGTTTTCAAGAGTCCGAAATTATTTTTTTTATTTACGGTTGATTACAACCTTTTATTAAGGGGGGGGAATAAATTAATTCGATCTTTCATGGTACTCTAATTAAAGGTCTCAACGAGAGGAACCAATTTTTACCAACTGCCGCCCTTGTTTCTGACCTTTTATCAAAAGGGGGGTGGGAAACTGGTTTTAGCCTTCATGGTACTCTAATGACAGGTCTCAACGAAAGGAATTAATTCCTACCAACCATAGTCTTCCTCTTCGAAGGGTGATTGTGATCGTATATATGTATTTGCTTATATCTCCAGAACGGAGATTGGCGATGTCAAAACTTTAAGACTGAATATCTCGAAAATGGTTTGTCGGAGGAAAGTACTTTCGAAGGCAAAACCCATCCATTTACTAAGCCATTTCGGCTTAAAAAAATGAGCTTTATCTGCACAAGAGTTGTGCACAATTTATACTTGTTTACAATTTTCAAGGTTGATTGCGACCTACTTTTTCTCTTCTCTTGGCCAACGAATCGGGGTCGTATTGTAAGTAGATGGGGTGATAATGATAACCAATCGCTTCTGACTGCAGAAATTAAATCGCATTCATTTGATCGCTGGATGGTCCTTTTAAAATAGGTACAAAGGAGGAGGTGGGGTGATTGTTTTGTGCCCATTTACAAACTTTTGTACAATTTTAAAGGTTGATTACAATCTCTTTTCTTCCCTTAGCCAATGAATGGGGGTTATATTGTAAGTACATGGGGTGATGATAACCAATCGTTTGGGCCTCTGCAAAAATTGAAAACCTTATCCGAGGATGTGAAAGTAATTTTGTGTGATTTAGGGTCGATTACAACCCTTTATTCATTTGACCGATTGAGGGTAATTTTAAAGTAAGTAGATGGGGTGATTCCTAATTGTTTTGTGACCCTTCAGAAACTTTTGCACAATTTTAAATGTTGCTTAATACCTCTGTTTCCCTTTGCCACTGAATCGGTCTTATTACTGTAAATAAAAATTCCTTTCCCGAGGATATGAAATAATTTTGTGCGAGTTATAGGATGAATTACAACTTTTTAGATATTCATTTGACTTATGGGTAGTGATTTTAAAGTAGGTATACTCTGTTTTTAAACTAAGAGGAGTAAACTGAAAAGTCTGATTTACATCCGAAAAAGTTACTATTGATCTGAGTAAAAAATAACTCGTAGATATTGATACGTACGTACACATGTGCATTATGGGTTGCCTACTACATAAGGCATACCTTATAAAAAATGCAGTGTTGATCATTTTTATGACGTTTTAATACACTTTACCGCTACACAATTTGACTTACAAGAAATTTTAATTATTATGTAGGCATAAATGCAATCATTTTATAAAATCAGCTACAATGTATTGTAAAGTTACAGCATTTTCAGGAATTTTTACTAAGAAAGATGCAAACCATTCTTCAAACACTTCCGCATTCATTTCTTTGTGATAATCGGATGTTTTTCATCCTTCGAAAAGTAGTAGACCCTCGTTTACGAAACCGTTCTCAGAGCAAACATGTAAAATAATGAGACGTTTCCCTTTTCCAGAAGGATTTTTTAAACCGGTAGGCAATCCTTCCACAAACGCTTGTCGTCGAGTACGAACGTTATCATCAGTCCACACTTTTTGTTTTGTATGGCCTTCATTTAACCATGTTTCATCTAAGTAATATATGGCTCGTCCTTCGTTCCTATATTGTTTAATAGCTTTTAAATACTTTCGTCTCCATCTTATTATGTCGTCGCACGTTCAATTAGATGAACGACACATTTGTGATAAATCTTCACGACTATTAATTTCTTTTAAGATTTTGTCCAAAGTGGGAAGTTCATTGAGGTAGAAAAAGTTGTGAATAATTTGACGAACTGATGTTTTTGTGCTTTCGGCAAATTGCGATACCAAAGGTGGGCGACCGCCCGAACGTTTAGAAGGAGTTACAGCTCCCGTTTTCTTATACTCCTTTATTTTTCGGTAAATCGTGGATTTTGCAATTCCTATATAAAAAAGTGTATGTGTTAAATTAACATATAATGTGTATTTCGTTTCTTACCTGCACCCTCAGTAATTTTTGCAACAATGGTAACCATGTTTGTGCCAGAGGCATCATTTAACATCTGTTTATATAAGTTGAGTATGCAACTGCTTTTCTGAGATCGATAAATGCCCCAAATTAAGATGCGTACGCTTTTTTACAGGTGAAATGTTCGCTTTACTTGTACTTGGCGTGGAATCCATATTTCGAAGTATTTGCACAAACAAAATCAAGTACAGGTACCCGGTTTAGTTCTAACATAGCCGTCTATAATTACAAGCCATGCTGAGAAGTTTGGCAACGTTGTCCGAAAGTCAATCGGTGGGCCGATATAATTTTAATGGCGTCTTGTTGCTCTTGAAAAATTGCATTTTTCCTCTCTCCTGTGCTTCGCCTTGGTGGTTTTAATACAGAAGAAAGATACTTAAGCAGCTTACAATTGTACATATATTTTATTTATTTACAAAAGTAGATAATAACATTTTTATTTGACGTTAAAATTCGGAACGCTGTAAATTGGTAACTGCATCATAACGTGTTTTCCATCGAGATCTCCGAAATTGGTGAACTTCTGTCGAAAGAGGTCGAGGTGAAGCACACGCTTAGGCACTTAATTTCGGCAAAAGGATAGTAAATCGCTGTGCATCAGCGAAGTTTTATCAACGACCAGGTGTGATTCGGAATGGCAGATTTTAAGCCAGTCGCTACTCCAGTGGGTCTATGTACGAAGCTTTTAAAGAGGGGAGCCCCGTAGATTTCAAATTCCCGTACCGTGTACTCCTGGGAATAAGTCGGAAGGTTCCTTCAGAAAATCGACTTGACATGTCCGTGCTAGAATATCTGAAATACCAACTAATAAAATAATTATTGTATTCTTTCACGATAAACACTTACCGTACTTACGTACCACGTAGTGTGTAGGTCATATTTGATCTTGTACAGGTACTTTCTATTCTATTCTATTCTATTCTCAGGGGAGCCCGACCGGGCAGCACTTAGGCACATCAGAGGCCCATTGTGCCTACCCCCTTTCTTCGCAACTGTACAGGTACTTTGAACAAATACAAGTGCTTGTAAAGGGCCCACTAAGGAGTAGCCTGCTTTAGAGGTTATGACAACAAATCGATATATTTCGTTTAGCAACTTACCTGAATAATAATTTCTGTTGATTCCGTACGGAGTAACACAAATTGTCGCAATCTCGCTCTGTTAAAACAGGTAAAAAGGAATATTACACCCAAAACACACATAAAATACACCTGAAATCTGTCAAGTTGAATTAGGAAATCGGCCTACCATGCAGTGTTGCCATAATTCTCAGCACGGCTTGTAATTATAGACGGCTGTGGTTCTAATAAGAACTGATTGTTTAATTGAAATTTAAACAAGACTTAAAACACACGAAAAAGGCAAAATTAAATAAAATACGAATAACACAATGCAAATGACACAGCGAATAAAGATGTCAACTGAATTGTCAAGATCCTCAAATTGCGTCTGTGTAAAAACGGCGTCGTATAAGCCAATCACAATGCAGATTATTTGCGGGAGCTATTTAAATCGCTCCTCTTAGTTTAAAAACGAACTATAGATGGGGTAATTCCCAATTGTCCCAAAGGAGAATGTTTTTAATGTTTCCGCAACAGTGTCCTTTCTGCAAGTATCATGAGACGTGTGCCTGTATAGGGATTCACGTAGCACGTTTGTTTGGTTTACCGACCATTGGGAATTCAAATAAAATAATGTCAGGATGGCGCCGCTTCGGGAATTTTAAATGTTGTTAATTTTTCGAAAGAAAAAAATTTCCTTTATGTGATGATTTTGTCCGTCTGTTCGTCGTCTAACCCGAGAACGAAAAGAGACAGTGATGCCAAACCTTCGCCAATCGAGTTCGGGAATCAGTGCTATTGAACGTGAGCCGGATTCTAAGTTTGGTTTCTGAATGCGAGCCGAGTGCCAAAAAATTCCCCTACCGAAAATCGTATTCGCTTCTTATTGTATTTTGTAGGAATTAAACGCTTGAAGACAAGACTAATTTTTATTTTTATATTGAAGTTATTGATTAATTGTTTATACACACATGCTATTTACCCAACTAAATTATAAAATCACATAAGTTTAGAATGTAATCACAACAACTCCTCCCCAACTTTACCTAAATTTAAACGATCCAGAGTATATTTTGTGATTTAAGATGTGTTTGCAACTTCCTACTCGCTTTTCCAATGGATGGTGATTTTAGTTTAAGTAAATGGGCCGATTAGCAATTGTGCGTAGTTTGTTAGAAAATAAGAATGTACTTCTGAAGTTTCAATTTAATTAACCGCTTATTCATTTGGCCAGAGGTTACAAATTGTTTTATCGAAATTAGATAACACTATTGTATTGCATCCACGATTGGTCTTTTCATCTTCTTGTTCACGAAATCTAGCAGGATGGGGAGAAACAGCTAGTCCATTCTTAATTAATGTATTAAATTATGTTCAATTGTATACCATGTCAATGTCTGGGGGTCCAACGATGAGTACCATGCAAAACTAATGCCAATATAGGTAGATTTCTGAATGCTCGTTGATCTACATCCACCCATTTGTGGAAGGATAATTTGACCCTAAACAGTAGCACGAAATGCACCCTTTTATGACTGCTGATTAAAATAAAATATGACATACTTAATTAGACGATTATTACCAAGTAGTAAATACTTTCGAATAGTTATTGTGAGCCCTTGCTGGTCGTAACCATATTAACACCCAACGTAAATAAAGTAAATCAATGCAACCTTCATGCTTGGGTTGTGACATGATCTTTTTTCTAAATCCAACCCTTTGTTGTTTATTGACTGAATAATATTCCTTATGTTAGGTATTGTTCTGGTGCTGCAACATTTTTAATACATTATATTTTTTAGGTGGATCAATTTGGATGCTGTACCAAAGTAAATACTTGATCCAAGAAACTGCGGAAAAGCTAGTATTCCAAATATTGGCAGTGTGGACACGACACCATGTTCCATCGAGATCGAAAGGTGTGTAAAATTGTTACAACTGTGGCAGATACATAATTAATCTTGCTTTAGTGTGAGTGCTTTGCTATTTTTGTTTCTCTTGTTACGAATATTTGGTTCAAATCGAAATTGTGGGAGTAGCACTATTCTTACAAAGTACTTGTTTACCCTAGCACCAATTAATGTTATTAAATTTTACAAATGCTTGCGATTTACTTTGTAGTCGTAAAGCAGCACTAACCTTTTTGGAAAAAGGCCCGCAAGCACACTTTCAATCACTCCCAAGTGGTCAAGTTTGATAATCATTTTTGTAGTAGCTCACGATATTCATAAAATTATGTAATTTTTGGCAAGGAGCACAAAAAATGTAGCCTCCAAAAGATTAGAAGTTGTTTACAATGATATCCATACATTTCGTAAATAAATATGATTGTTCAATTATTAAAAATTGCTGTCTCAAAAGTATGTTTTGTTTGTGCGATTTTTCGCTGGCAAACACGTACTGGTTGTATGAGATTTATGTGTAAGCGGTTTCGTTTATGCGATTAGCGGTCACACTTTCTGATGCGAGTGAAATTGTACTGCTGAAATCTCAATTCTCGGGAGAACCAATTCGTTATGGAAAAATATTAAAATTTTTAATGTGTTCGTTTTCTATATCGCTTTTGTTTAAACATGTAACCTTCAATTTCAAGTTTTTTGAAAAACTTGCACCATATACTTAAACTACAATTTCACAATACAATACATCAACTGTCTATCACCATCGGGTGTGGGAAAGGAATTATAAATTGGTTAGAATCTGGAAGTTAGGCAACCAACCATACATTATAGTTCACAATTTGCTATTTTTGTTTGCTCTTTGCAATTTTTTTTTATAGCTACCCTAAAGCAGAACGTGCATTGAATCGACTCTACGTCACCGATCAATTTCCTATGCATGTCGTCGATCCGAACCAGTCGATGATATTGCAATCGAACCGACGCAGTGCACGGCAGAGTTGGACTGGGTCAACTGGGTCACTAAATTAAACTGGGTCGCTGGGTCACGTCATACTCTTTTCAGTTTGACCCAGTGACCCAGTTTGACCCAGTGACCCAATTTCACCCGGGGACCCAATTCGACCCAATCACCTAGTTTGATCGAATAACGCAGTTAAGTCAGTGCCCTCGGTTCAAGTATACAGATTATGAAATAAATGCTTAATGCTGGTTTGTTGAAAATAATACTCGATTGCTTGACAACTGCCATTTCTGTGATGTTTGCTTTAATACTGCCGTAAAAAACTTTCCATGTCCCGAATTGTATTAGAATAATGTTATTTCTTTGCTTCAGGGCTTACCAGTTTGCTTACAGGTGTTCATTCACATTTAATTTTTTTCTACTAGTTAGCTTAATCCAAATAAATCTTTTCTCTAAATACTTTCATTCAGTGGCGGAACTACCGCGTGTTCAATGAGTGCGAAGTACACGGGCCCGGGCTAAAAAGGCGCCCGGGACCCGGGATTGTAACACTCGGAAATAATACACTGTTCACGGAAAGACGGAACATGGTAAATGGAACCTTTTGCAGCATACCTTTAGGACGGTGTGAAACCAACAACAGACTACAGCCAGCGATTGAGTAATTTTTTAAATTGTACTGAAAATGATATGTCAATGAAAATGTACTAAATTTAATTGTTTTGTACTAAAATACGCAGCATAACCTCAAGGGCACAAAAAAATTAGCTATAAATTGTCATGAATCGTGAGATAACACTATATAACCGTACGAATGACTTTCTGAATAGTAAAAGTTAACTGTGAAAGTAAGATTCAATTTTTTAAATCGTGGGTAAACGCTGAATCCGCGCTCTGACTAATATTTTTCCTCGTATTTTTCTATGTTCAGGTTCAGGAACATAAATACTTATCAATTGGTTTTTTTTTGTAGGCAAAATTCATACCTAAATTAATATTGTTATCAATACTTCGTATCATAATGGGGGCCCACCAAAAAATTTCGCACACAGGCCCGTGGCTACGTTGTTCCGCCATCGGGATCCTCCTTATGAAATTAATAATTTGACTTAAAAAATGAAAAAATTATATCAATCGCATAGCTTCTTTTTTGAATATAACAATAACTGCTGTACTTTTTAGGTGAATCAATTTCGATGTCGTGTCAAAGAAAAATATACCAGTTGATGAAAACCTTCCAATATCGACTGCGAGAATAATCATACAATACACAACTCCATCCCTTCAGCCTGTGCATGAAAGGTGTGTTGTAAAGCTAAAGTGTTGGTAGTGGCGTAAACCCAAATGTGCTCGACTGTATTTTTTGCCTTTCTTATTTATGTGTGCACTTGGGCAAATTGCACTTTTGTTTGTTCAGTAGTTCATTACCAAGTATTTTGAAAAGTAATTGTAACTCCCAGCTGCTTGCTAGAACTTTTGAAAGTCAAGGACTGTTTTTGAAAATACTTGGTCTAATTAAGAGCTACAAAGATCTGTTTGTTATAAGTGTAATTTATATTCATAGGTATTACTCTTGTTTTATCAGAAAACCGTACAAAACGGTTGATTATTCCAATTGTAATGATTCAAAACAGCACGGGACCATTGTTTTCTGTTCTGTAGCTATAATATGTTGAGTTTAATATGAGGTTTCGTACGAATTTCACTACAGTCTTCAAATGCTTGGAAGCTTCATATTTCCATGAAAATATTATGTTTGATACCAATCATGAACGAAGCCAATTTATTGAATCTTTATCTGTAAACATTTTTCTGTGGTGTTAATGCGGAATTTCTGAATGTGTATTTCCCAAAGCAAGTGATTATGATGCCTTTGGTAATTTGTCTAATACATTTTTGCAACTCCTGTGTGTGTGAAGCCCTTGAAGTATTATGGTTCGAAATTAAAGGACGTATTCCATTTTTGTTTAGTTGAAAGCCCCTTATTGTTTAACTCATCTGATCGTACTTTCATTCAATTAATTCTTAAAACGTGGAAGTTGATTGATCACTTGATTCTATAACTGCCTGTTTATTGATTATTGGTGATTGAAGACTGTGTGGAGAGATCTAGACGATTCAGTGTGAACACCTTCAACTTTTTTTATGAAAAATTGTGTATACTCCGTTCAATAGTTATTGTCCCACTGTGTATATGTCATTAGGTTGTTTATACAAAATGATAATTTCCTGTCAATGTGCAAAACCTAGTTGCCAGATTTAGTTTTAGATTTTGTGGCAATTTTTTTATACCTAGGTTAATACATATAAATTTCATGAGAAACAACTTGCTGAATACGTTTCGCACTTTATTAAGTAGACAAATTGCTGTTATGAACATTATTAACCAGCGACAAAAAGCGATAGTTTACGATTTTGGACTTTCTGTCCGTACGTCTGTGGACACGATAACTCACTAATGGTTTCGAATTTCTAATTCTGTTTTTAGCAATAGGTAGGCAATGGTCAAGGGACTAATTGATTAGATTTTGGTCACTATTCGTCAACGGGAAGTGACTTTGTTGCTTATGGTCTATAATAGTGCAGTTCATTAATTTTTTCTTCAAAAGGCTGTTATATATGAACTTATATTTACAATTCTGAATTTTATTTAGACTTCTCACGTTCGACAACATTCGGAGTCGTAAACATTCCAAGAAATCATTTGATTTCCTTTTGACTTTTTTCATCATTTGGATCTTACTTCTACTTTTTTGATTACTGATCTTGTTTTGATTTACGATATATCCCATGTAAATAAACGTCAAATTTACATGTGGATATTGAATTTTCGTAGGATGTAATTTTATATGTTGAATGTTTTAAATGTCATAACAATTCTCGACAATATTTCAAAAATTGAATAAGTAACACAAATAATCTTGCGTGTTTGGCATGTGGAAATTTCCCCTCGCTTATCAGTAGTCCGTTCGAATTTTTGCCCATATTATGTATACCTGAAAAACTTATCCACTCCAAAAACTATGATCAATATGCTTATAAGCGTAGCTTAAAATCCTTGACAATGATTATTGCGACAATGGTTGCCATGGATTTTAATCTGCGGTTCGCTTAAATTTGTCAGTGCAAACGGCCATTAATTGGCTGTAATTTTGTCCAGCAGGTGCCAATGATCTGGACGCAAAAGAGCTATTGGGCACTCTTCGTTAATTTTATGATATGCAGTGCTATTCATTTAGAAGTATTTTCTATGTCTACTTTTAAATGACAAAAATGCTTCTGAAAAATGCCTAATTTTATGCAACCGAAATAACATGCGCACGCATTTTACACTGTCATTCTAGATTTTAAGCGATATTAAATTCGGCCGCTACTTCCCTTATGTTTCTTATGGAATTCTCTTCTACAAAAATGAAAACATTCAGTTTCATATCCTCCGTTAAAATTTGGGGTGTTTACTGTGTCTTATGTTGCTAATTTTAAAGTAATCAAACAGAAAATAAGTCTCTTATGCCCCTTCAACTATTACCGGTACTATACCAATTAACAAAATCAACTTTTTTTTCAGTTGCATACCGCACACAAACGAAAATAAAAATACGGAAGCCAAAGCAATAATGTTCCAATTTAATTAATATGACAGCAAAATCTTCATTTGTGTTAAGAAGTTATTTTGGTTGCATAAAATTATAGGCGTCCTTCAGAAGAGTTTTTGCTATTTAAAACTAAACATAGGAAATCCTTATGTCTACTTCAAAATGAATATCACTGTAGTTTGAATCTCATTGCTGTCTTCATCAACTAGTACGTCACTGGTTTCCGTTTTGTGATGATACCTTTGTGCTTCAAGTTCGCCTAATTCTCGTTCGTTTTGATGGCGTATGGAATTTCGCGTTCTTTGATAGGTAAATATTCGTTTTGATCCCGGTCTTAACTTCAGTGATTATGCAAAGTTAGGGATGGTGTCTACTTTGGTGTGAATATTTCCGAATATGTATTTTCAATGTTGCTTATCATTCTATAGTAATAATTAGGTTGATGTGATTATATGAACTTGTAGAAGCGATAATATCTAGTTCTTTAAGGTCTATAACCAAGTGTCGAATTGATTCTCGACCCAGAACTGCAGAATGGTAGTTTGTTTGAACTTACTAATGCCCAATTTTCGATAATCGATTCTTGATTTCTATTGCTGCTTTGGAGGGTGTAATAACTTTGATTTCTTCTCTGACGTAAACGAGAGATTTGATTAATTTCGTTCGACATATATTTGAAGTTGACGTTAATTCTGAACTTGCAATGATATTTTCGATTCCTCTAATTCTTCAGCTTTTTCTACTGTTTGGTCGAAGATCAATTCTGTTGACATCAAGAGTTGTTCTCTGATTGTTTGATCACTTATTCCTCATATAAATTGTGTTCTGAGAATTATATTGTCGATGGTGTGCTCTTATATGCATAAACAAATTCACAATTTGTCGTAATTTTATTTAGTTCAGCAACATGTTTTGCAATATTTTGACTTGATGCTTGAGCACAAAACAAGAATCTGTGTTGTTCGATGATGACGATGCTTTTAGGACTGATGTTTTGTCTTAAGAGAGGGACCCATGCTATTTAATAACATAACATTTGTCCAGCCAATTTACCGTCATTGAAAAGATCGTTGCGAACTGTTTAAAGGTTTCTTTTTTTGGGTGGATTTGTTCGAAATTTAGTAAAATCGTTACATTATTAGCGTTTACTTTTGGATCTGCGTGAATTTCTGTACAAATGTAAGCAGTAGCGTGAGTGTATTTGTGATTATAAAAATCTGTTGCATTGAAATGGGAAAGTGTCAAATGTGCAGATTTGTTGATAGACAACCCATCCACAGTTTGCTGTTTCCATTTGTTATATGACTCTTTATAATGTGAGATTGTTTAGGTAAATCGTTGATTGTAAAATTTATGTATCCGAGACTGAATATTCAATGTTTTTCCTTAGATTTTGTGCTTTTACTTGTGATTTTTTTGCTTAATTCATAACTAAAGCACACACTTTATATCAATATGAATAGTCCCTTGGAATAGGAAAAATGAACAATTATAATTTTTTAGTTTAACTTTAAATTGATTCAGAATTGTAGAGATATGTTCTTAAACAACATATACTGTGCGGGATAAAGGGGTGCTTGAAGTCTCAATCTTTGAGTTTTTATCTCATAGTTTGAAGCTGGTTTCTCTAGATAGAAAGAGAGCTTTCTAAATTTGCTCAACTTTGCTCCTTAATTCTCGAATGTTGGAATTGATGGGTGAACCTGCAATTTAATTTCAATCAAGTATCGATATCCATAAATCATTTCACTAACTAATACGTAACCCTATTTGGGAATAACAGTTGTAGATGAAATTCAATTAAATAAATTTTTTTTATTATCTTTTCGACATTAAAATAGTCATACAGGGTGATTCCTATAGTACCTGCCACCGTTTGGGAGCGTGTAGGTGGTGCGTAGGGGAGTATTTTGATATAGGACACTTGGGGTCGGAAATCTAAAATAAGGGTGCCAGAGCCAAATTTACCTTCTGGAATTTCGCGCCTGTAGGTAGGCAACCCAACCGGCCGGCGGTGCACACGGAGCGATCTCAGGCGGCGATGTGTGGCTGACACTTGATCAGAATTTTGTTTAAACCCACGAATCCCGTCTGCAACGACGCGTATCAAGTGAATAAACACTATGGCAATAGTATAATAATAGTTGGCTAGATGTAGGAAGTGCATTGAGAACAACGGTGGCCACGTTGAACACTTGTAAACGTTATTGCTTTTGACTGTCGTTTTCCCTCCTTCCCTCCCATGTCGCTTCCTCGCGCTAACTCGCTCTGCATCGCTCCGCGCGAAACGTCGGTCGGTTGGGTTGCCTACATACAGGCGTGAAATTCCAGAAGATAAATTTGGTTCTGGCGCCCTTATTTTAGATTTCCGACCCCAAGTGTCCTATATCAAAATACTCCCCTAGGCACCCCCTATACGCTCCCAAACGGTGGCAGGTACTATAGGAATCACCCTGTATATTACCATAAGGAACGAATCATTGAATGTAAATGAAAACAGTTACGATTATTTGTCAGTATTCCAGTCCTGGCTTACAATTTAAATGGGCAAATCACAATGCCATTTTTTTCGCTTACAATGTTCTGCTAAAAAACCCATTGATACATAATATATCCTGCGGGGGAAATATTTTTTTTGGGGAAAATTCAAATTTTCAAGAACGGCTTAGCTTTTCTAAATATGTATAGGAGCAGATTTGAGAATTTTTCATTTGCATCTGTGGTATTCAGTTGCGGCAAGGAGTATGGTTCCGTAAATTCATAAATTGTTTTTTGCGACAGCAATGGGCTTGCCTATGAAGCATGCAACTTGTATCTACATTGGGATTTGTTATGTACGATCATTGACAAATGTAATGATCGCTTAATAGTTACACTCTGCAGCATGAGCAACCAACATGCCTGTCACATTGGGCTCCGTCGATTTCTAAGGAGGAGATACTGTAATTTGTTGGTTGCGCATGCTGCAGGATTTACCCATTCAGCGATCATTACTTTTGTCAATGACTGTCCCTACTGATAAGCTACTTTCTACATTTGTTTTATTTAAATCGGTTTTGGCCCCTAATTCCCCTATCCTAATTCAAATATCTAGATTAAGTAATTTTTAATAAACATTTTTTTTACCTTATTTTGTTTCTTGTTTCAGATTCCAGAACAGCCTCTCTTTTATGGCAGGTCTGCAATTTGCAAAGTGAGACAGCTTTGCATTCGGCTGGTTTCCCATAATCTTTGTTGATATTATCCAGCCATTATGCAGTGCATCGTTCTTCCTACTGATGGTGATTACGCTTCCCAGACAAAGCCGGAATCAATAAGGCTTCGGGTAAATTGCTGTTTTCTTATTATATGTTTTAGCGATTCTATCATAAATAAAAAGTTTTCTAAATTAAAATGTAATTTTTCCGGCAGATATAATCTACAATTTTTCATTAAATGTAACCTGCCAAAGGTGGAGCTGCTATGATACCTTTCGGCCTTAACTATAATAAATTTAAAGAAATATAACATTAATAATGTGTCAATTTTTTTTATCATAACGTTTATTCTTTGTTACAGATATCAGAAGAGCAGCCTTATTAAGGTAGGATTTTTTTTCTTTTGCATGGTGTATTGCATGTCATATTTTGTGTAAAGGGGGGAAAAGTGAATAGTGCATATAGTGACTAAGAAGAAGATCGTCAACTGTATTGAGCTAACCGAGAGAGTAGTAAGTGAGTTGTGACTATCTTCTCAATCTATCATCTTGGCGATGTAAGATTGACCTCAATGATTCTTAAAGTAGACCCTTTCGAAGTCTGCGTCAGTTTGCGTTATATTAACAAGTGACTATGTATTCATAGCCACAGTAATGATAAGACGTAAACTGACTGGTCGACGAACGAGACTATGGAGAAGTATTGTAGTCAATTCTTTCGTTTCCAAGTGCCATGGATTTGACGATTGTTATACCTCATTTATTATTACATGAAGTAATACTTTTTAAAAAGAGGGTGAGTAGTTGACTTAATAAATAGTATGTTCGTTTATTGTTACCGGCGTGTGATGCCATAAGATCATATTACACTTCTTTAATAAACGAGCACACTTTTACAATAAATTATTACATTGTGTGTTTATGTTGTTTTAATAATTTCATTGGTTATTCACAGGACCAAGTGATCGGTCTACTGCCAGTATCAGTTCTACACCAGCAACTCCGGTAGTGGATCTTGATTCAAGATTATCGTCGTCCCTGTTGAATAATTGTATGGATATTGAATATGAGAGAGGTGAGTACACCCAATAGACCAGACCCATTAAGCAAACTAAAATTGCGTTTCTTCTAAGAGAATTTCTTGGTATATTTATTTATTTAACGTGGACAGTTTTCGTTCTTTTTCTCATAAGGCTTGGAGGGAAATTACACGCTTAATTTTAAGTACGTACATACCCACAGTTTGGCAATGTTCTTAACAGAATTTTTCTTCTTGTTACAGATTCGAGAAGGGCAGCTATAAAAGGTAGGATTTTTCTTTTATTAATTTTAAGCAGTGGGGGAAAAGTGAATAGTGTCTGGAGATATTTTCAACTGATCTTTGCACATCGTAAGTACAGTTTAGTTGTCTTCTTATCTTGGTGACATAAGATTGATTGCAATGATTCTTCAAAGGTCTCTTTGGCGGATTCAATCAATTTGCATCATATTAATTTGTAGAAGTATGAATTCATAATTGTACTTTTTTTATGAAGCAAAATGATTGTCTTTGCGAACAAACCTGTGCAGACACATTGGAATCATGTCTTCCGTTCCCAAGTTGAGTGATAGTCAACGCCCAATTCTTAAAACAATTATTTTCGTTTTTTCTTATGATTATGCAATAATATATACCTAATACATTTTCCTTACAGTACACCATTTTGGAAGCAGTTCGTTTGACAGGGGTTTCCAAGGCGTATGTCAGGTGGAACCTTAGTTAGAAGTAGTACTGTTGTAAATTAAAGCTCATTTCATGAGGTGTTATAACCCTTTCGTGTAGTGTTGTTTTTTTGTTATAATCATGATTGTGATTAAAAAAATTAAACATTCCGAAGCGAGAGGATGAGGGTGGCTGTAAGGGGTGGTAAAGGAGGCCACTAAAAGGGATATAGCACCTACATGTAATTTGCCTTATTTAGATAGGTATGTACTTACTTCCGCTACCCATTCATCTTTGCTTCTTCATTGCGTCAGAATAAATATCTCCCGTTTAAATATTTCTTGTCCTTTTACCTTTTCTTGGTTTTAGTAATCGCTAATGCATCCAAATCTTCTTTTTTTAATTCCTTGCTTTTTCCAGTTTGTTCCTCATATTTTTCACCTTTTTGTATTTGAGTGCCAGTTACTTTGCCCTTTTCGCTTGGTGTGTTCCGTAAGTTTTTGAATGTTTTTCATTTCTTTTTTTGAGGCAACAATTACTGGCTGATCGATCTATTTGTACGATTTCCATATATTGTGTTCTTTTTTAATGTGCGTTCTTGTGTGTATACATAGTTGCTTGTGGCCTGTCCAAATTGGTAACGTCTCAAATAAGGGATGCATTTATCATTGCATTATTTTGTATCCTACTTTTACTCGTATTTTCTTTTTCAGTTTTCGCAATTTCTGTGTACTGTTTTTGTATATTCATTTTTTGTTTTGTCCATTGTCTATAAACATATTTAGAGGTGTATTCCATTTCAACTGTGTTCTGGACCCAGTATGCTATTTTGTCTATTGTCTTTTTAAATCTCAAGAGCTTCCATAATTTAAATTTCTAGTTTTATCTGCTTTGGTATCAACTTTATTTGTGCCATTCTGGTTTCCTTTGTCTTCAAGTTTTATGGACTTTATCTTCTGATTTTTTTAAATGTCTTCCTTTGGGTGCTGCACACACTTCAAATATCTCCTTCATTTAATCTACAATTTATCAAAAAGTTCCATATTGTTTTCGTTGTACTAGTAATCTTCTTTTTTTAGCATACGCCCCTCTTCTGGTGTTTTCCGTTGTAGTAGTTCGGCAGTTATTTTGGCTAGGTACCCCCATCATTTTTTATCGTAAGCTTCTGTACTTTCTATTTTATGATTTCCGATGTGATATAAACGTTTCCTATTCACCTTTGTTTCCAGCACTTACTTGATCTCTTTTAATATGCTATTTTTTCTTACATATTTTTCGTGTCCTCAAAGTCTTCCTTTTTTTATTTACACGTTATCCTAATTTTTGTTTTTCTTATTGCAACTCTGTTTCCTTTTGTCTTGTCTCGTCTCAATTTTTTAATTTGTCTTAAGGACAAATGTCCTTATGTTTTTTTGTTCTTCAACTCTTTCTTCTAATTATCACTTAGGTGTTGCTGGCCTTAAGTATTACCTTCACCTACTTGCCCATTTGTCTTATTGTAAAATCCTATCCATGTTAAGGAGTGTTTTTGTAGAAGGCTTTCTTTAGGACGTTATTTCAGATTCTTTTATACCTCAAAAGTTGATTTATTTTTGGCAATTTCATGTTTCTTTCACCTATTTTTCGTCCTTATGCGCACTATGATTGTATGACTCATCGTCTTGACCTTTCAGTTTTACCTTTTTCCACTAAAAAGTTTTGTTTCGTTCTGTATTTCCATTTTTCCATAAACGTGGCTCTCAATTTTTGTTTGGTATGTCACGAAGGACCTGGGTACCGTCACTATGTATTCGTCGGTGGGGCCAAAGGAAAGTAGATTAGGGACTTGGATGTATTTATCGGTGGGGTCAGAGGAAAGTGGTGCGTAGGGACGCGATGTATCCGATGGTGCAGCCGAGGAAAGGGTCGAGATGTATACGTCTATGGACCTAAAACAAAGTGGTGGGCACGCATTATACCTGCCGGTAGGGCCAATCGAATATGGAGGTTCGGACACAATGTATTCGTAGATGGGATTTATGTATTCGTTAATGGAGCCAAGGAGGTTAGGGACGCGGTGTACCTATTCATTGTCGGGATCAAGAAAAGTTGAGGATAAGGACGCGATGGTTTCGTTGAGGGGACCAAAGGAAAGTTTAGGGCGGGGACGCGATATATTCGTTTTTGGGGCCATATTAAAGTTTAGAGTAGGGACGCGATGTATCCGTCGGCGGATTCAAGGGAAGTGGGAGATAGAGTTTAGAGTAGGGACACGATGTATCCATTGCCTTGTGCAAAATAAAGTGGAGGGAAGGGACGCATGATGTGTTCGTCGATGGGACCAATGGAAAGTGGAGTATCGCCAACCCTGTTGAAAAACGCGGATGGTTCCACTGAGGTTAGTACACCGCTGTTATGTTTTTTAAATATATTTTTGTATAGCATTGCCAATGTCGATAGAAATCCTTTGTAATATTATACTTTACTTTTCAGTTATTGCCGTTATTGGAAGTGACTCACCTTTTAACGTGAACGAGTACCTATCCTTCATAGTATTTTCGAGTGTATCCAGCCACTGTTCTCCACTGTATCGGCTATCCCGTTACTAGCGGCTACCCCATCGATAACCGTACTCTAAAGGGTGAGTTTAAATTTTGCTAATTGGGCATATTTAGACAGCATGCATCTTTTCAACAGATTTGTTATTTTTTAACCACAATTTGAGTTTCATTCCCCGAATGCAGCAGGAAGTCTTCTTTTAAGGAGACTTCGATTTTACAATATTTCGATTAAGTAATTTTAAATTTAAGCATTTATAAGTACCTTTTCCGCATTTTTAAAACGTAAATTTGTTTCTTGTTTCAGGTTCCAGAACAGCTAATTCTGAAGTTACTTCGCAAAGTGAGACCCGCAATCTTTGAAGAGATTGTCGATATCACCCAACGGTTCTGCAGTGCATCGTTCCTCCCTGACGAAACTTCCCAGGATAGGCCGGAATTAATAAGGCTAAGGGTATGTCTCCATTTTCTAATTATGTTTAGCCATTCAAATCTGCTGATTCTATCATATCAATAAGAAGTTTTCTAAACTGAAATGTAATGTTTCCGGTAGACATAATCTACAATTTTTTCTTAAATATAGCGTACTAATTTAAAGAAATATAACATTAATAATGTGTCAACCTTTTTTATCATACGTTTATTCTTTGTTACAGATATCAGAAGGGCAGCCTTATAAAGGTAGGATTTTTCCTCTTTTGCATGGTGTATTGCATGTCATATTTTGTGTAAAGGGGGGAAAAGTGAATAGTGCACATGGTGACTAAAAAGAAGATCGTCAACTGTATTGAGCTAACCGAGAGAGTAGTAAGTGAGTTGTGACTATCTTCTCAATCTATCATCTTTGCGATGTAAGATTGACATCAATGATTCTTAAAATAGTTCCCTTTCGCAGTCTGCGTCAGTTTGCGTTATATTAACAAGTGACTATAAATTCATAGCCACAGTAATGATAAGACGTAAACTGACTGGTCGACGAATTAGACTAATGGAGAAGTATTGAAGTCAATTCTTTCGTTCCCAAGTGCCATGGATTTGACGATTGTTATACCTCATTTATTATTACATGAAGATCGGCTTAATAGTTTTTAAAAAGAGGGTGAGTAGTTGACTTAATAAATAGTATGTTCGTTTATTGTTACCGCCGTTGTGAAGCCATAAGATCATTATACACTTCTTTAATAAACGAGCATACTCTTACAATAAATTATTACATTGTGTGTTTATGTTGTTTTACTAATTTCATTGGTTATTCACAGGGCCAAGTGATCGGTCTACTGCCAGCATCAGTTCTACACAAACAACTCTGGTAGTGGATCTTGATTCAAGATTATCGTCGTCCCTGTTGAATAATTGTATGGATATTGAATATGAGAGAGGTGAGTACACCCAATAGACCAGATCCATTAAGCAAACTAAAATTGCGTTTCTTCTAAGAGAATTTCTTGGTATATTTATTTATTTAACGTGGAAAGTTTTAGTTCTTTTTCTCATAAGGCTTTGTAGGGAAATTTCACGCTTAATTTTAAGTACGTACCCACAGTTTGGCAATGTTCTTAACAGAATTTTTCTTCTTGTTACAGATTCGAGAAGGGCAGCTAAAGGTAGGATTTTTCTTTTATTAATTTTAAGCAGTGGGGGAAAAGTGAATAGTGTCTGGAGATATTTTCCACTGATCTTCGTACATCGTAAGTACAGTTTAGTTGTCTTCTTATCTTGGTGACATAAGATTGATTGCAATGATTCTGCAAAGGTCTCTTTGGCGGATTCAATCAATTTGCATCATATTAATTTGTAGAAGTATGAATTCATAATTTTACTTTTTTTATGAAGCAAAACGATTGTCTTTGCGAACAAACCTGTGCAGACACATTGGAATCATGTCTTCCGTTCCCAAGTTGAGTGATAGTCAACGCCCAATTCTTAACACAATAATTTTCGTTTTTCTTATGATTATGCAATAATACATACCTAATACATTTTCCTTACAGTAGGTACACCATTTTAGAAGCAGTTCGTTTGACAGGGGTTTCCAAGGCGTATGTCAGGTGGACCTTAGTTAGAAGTAGTACTGTTGTAAATTAAAGCTCACTTCATGTGGTGTTATAACCCTTTCGTGTAGTGTTGTTTGTTTGTTATAATCATGATTGAGATTAAAAAATTAAACATTTCGAGTCGAGAGGTTGAGGGTGGCTGTAAGGGGTGGTAAAGGAGGCCACTAAAAGGGATATAGCACCTACATGTAATTTGCCTTATTTAGATATGTACCTACTTCCGCCACCCATTCATTTTTGGTTCTTCATTGCATAAGAATAAATATCTCCCTTTTAAATATTTCTTGCTCTTTTACCTTTTTCTTGGTTTTAGTAATCGCTAATGCATCCAAATCTGTTTTTAATTCCTTGCTTTTTTCCAGTTTGTACCTCGTATTTTCACCTTTTTGTATTTGATTGCCAGTTACTTTGCCCTTTTCTCTTCGTGGGTTCGTTAAGTTTTTGAATGTTTTTCTTTTTTTTGAGGCAACAATTACTGGCTGATCGATCTGTTTGTACGATTTCCGTATTGTGTTCTTTTTTAATGTGCGTTGTAATACCTTGTTGTGTGTATACTTAGTTGCTTGTGCTTAATCATTTGTATCCCAAATTATAGATGCTAAGAATTGCCGTTCCAAATTTTCAACGTTTCATATAAGCGATTGCATTATTTTGTATCCTGCGTTTACTCTTATTTTCTTTTTCAGTTTTCGCAATTTCTGTGTAGGTACTGTTTTTGTATAATCATTTTTTGTTTTGCCCATTGTTTATAAACATATTTAGAGTTGTGTTCCATTACAACTTCTTTTGTCTTGTTTCCTGCATTTCTCCTTGGGTTTTTTTTGTTCTTCAGTTCTCTCTGCCAGTTATCACTGGCCTTAAGTATTACCTTAACCCACTGGCCTATTAGTCTAATTGTAAAATCCCTTCCATATTAAGTAGGTACTGTTTTGTAGAAGGCTTTCTTTAGGACTTTTTTCGAACTTACATCAAAAGTTGACATTTTTCTTTCACCTATTGCGCATTATAATTGTATGACCGATCATTGTTAATTTTTTCTACTGAAAAGTTTTGGTTTCGTTGTGTATTGTCATTTTTCTATAAATTTGGCTCTCGATTTTTTTTTGGTCTTCAATTCTTGCTTGTACATCAGGTTCATCTGTTTTTGGCCCATTTACTTTCGTCTTCCGGTATCGGGTTTCCACACTTCTCGAGATTTTCACTGTCTCTATTATTTATCTTTTCTTCACTGTCTACTGTCTATTTGCATAACTTTCACTTTCCTTGTATTGATTTACACATTCAATTTTTTTATCCATCATAACCTTTTTTTATTGTATAAGTAGGTACTGTAGGTATTGTTCGTTGTAAATTAAAGTGCATTTCATAAGGTGCTATACCTCGGTCATGTTTTTTTAGATAATCATTGATGTATTAATAAATTAAATGCTTAAAAGAGAGGTTGAGGGTGGCTGTGAGGGGTGGTAAAGGAGGCCACTGGGTATAGCACCTTGATGCAATTTGATTTTTTTTGCATGCAGTGTTCTACTTTTCCTTCCTACTTTTGTATTGGTCGAAACCCCCGTTGAAATGAATGTTGGGGAATGTTAATGCACAGAATACGGCCTTCTCAGAATAGAAACAGCAATGTTACAAATTTGTATGGTATTTTGGCGGACCCTGGTGGGTGTACTGTGAACTAAAGCATCAAAAATCAGAGTAGCGCCATCTGGTGACCAGCTTCTAAATCCATGAAGTAATTTCCCCAATTCGATCTAAATCACAAATATAGATAAAGAATACACAGTTGTTAAATTGCAAGTGTATTTAGATACAATCACATTACATTATTTAACACAGACATCTTAAATTACATGTTTACAAATTACATATAAAACTCAGAAGTAAGTGCAACTTACGCTTTGTAGAAGTTAACACTTTGCAAAAAGATCCTTACGTAACGAGTTGTCCTACGAAATATTTGGTTTTAATTGCTGTTTGGACTACATATTTTTGTTAAAAAATATCTTTAGAACTAATTTTTTTGTTCCAAGAGGTGATAAAACCGTTTCAGCAAATTGTCACACAAGTTTTTGACAACAAATGTTAACTTGATCCTGGTGCTTACTGGTTACTTGAGAAGCGAGGGTGGAAGTTGTTGAATTATCTAAAACGAATTACAATATAAGTATCTACATCTATATAAATATAAAACTCAAGTCTACACCCTTTTGCGCCTATAGGTACAGTTGGTAATAATTCTGCATCAATTTGTACCTGTTACTTACCTCGCATAAATAGGAAAGAAATAACAGCACATTTCAACCCTCTTCGCGTTTCAAGCACAAAACAATCTGTTTCAAAATGTGGGAAAAGATGTCTTTTTGATATTTTATTGTTACAATCCGCCACACAACACTTTCACGGTCACATAACTTGTTCATATTTTAAATCTTTCAAAAGTCAAAATTGACATGTGTAAAACCTGTGTACGTATAAAATCGACGGTAAAAATATTTCCTGTAACGAGAAAAATTACAGGTTTTGCAAAAAAATATTTGAGTCTGCGATAAATAGTTCCCCGTACAATCACGGGAAACGCTGTAATCAGTGACAATTTAGCGCTATTTATGTTTCTGTTCTGTGAAGGTCTTATTCTGTGTGTTAATGCTCCCCATTTTCATGGTATTCGAATGACAGTTCTCAACGGAAGTAATGGTTTTCAAACTTCAAATGTCAATATCTCAAAGTGTGGGAAGAGGGTACTTACTAAGCAAACGTTGTACCGCGATGTATCCGTCAATGGGACCAAAGGAAGATTGAGGAGATGGCATCGCGATATGTTCGTGGGTGGGGCCAAAGGGTAGAGACGCGATACGTCCGTTGATAAGGCCAACGGAAAGTGACGGGCAAGGAAACGATGTATCAGGGTCAAAGGAAAGTGGATGTTGGGGGTGATGTATTTATCGGTGGGGTCAGAGGAAAGTGTTTAGAGGGACGCGATGTTATCTGTCAATGCCCCCCCCCCCACCCGTAGATGCACCTTGTCGTGGTGGTGGGGCTCAGTAGTCACAATTTTCTGTGGCGATTTGGCGAAGCTGGTGATTGCTAGACTCCATGGCTTTAACCCATAAAGTATGATCCGTGCTACCCGATTCCATTAAACCTGGTTTAAAGGATGCCGTATCATTCAAATTCTTCATGGAGTAGAGATATTCGAAAGAATTCTCGACTTATCAAACGTGATACAAAGGAATTTTATCGACATGATCAAGCAGTACGTTCACTCCTGAGGCGTGCGTCGTAGACATTTGATCAGCTTCTGATTCCAGGATATTCTGGTAAAAGGTCGATTGTCATTTGTCGCAAATAGGAGCAGAGTTTCGAGCAATCGGACTCAACCCTGACTTGCTTGGTGATAATGGAAACTTTATTTACACGAGTACTACTCACTTAATTGGTCTCGGACTCTGAGGGGCTGTTAATGCTTAGCTGTTTCGCTTAACCGATGGGTAAAGGAATTAAAATTCCTTAATTTTTTTAGTGAATTTCCTAGACATAAGTCGTAGTTAGATCTCGCCTGTTTGATTTCAACTTACTTGCTTGATATCAATGAAGGTGGATTTCGAAAGGTGTTATCCGAGAGTTAATTTATACTGCATAATTCGAGAGGCTGAGGGTGGCTGTGAGGGGAGGTAAAGGAGGCCACTTAGGATAGCACCTTCATGCAATCCACCGTACTTAGACATAAGTCGTAGTTAGATCTCGCCTGCTTAGATATAAGAATAATTCCAATTTTTTTCAGCTGCGCATTGTTTCATCGTAAAACTCTTTTGTTTCCACCTTCAGCTACTTTAGCTGCCATCCTAATTTTTTTCGTTCGGGGAACAGCTGCCATCGCCTTTTTTTTTTCAACGTTCAGCTGCAACTTGCCAACATAAATTTTTGCAACAGTCAGCTATTTTTATAGCTGCATCCCTTAATTTTTTTTAGTGGCTTTTCTAGACATAAGTCGTAGTTAGATCTCGCTTGTTTGATTTCAACTTGCTTGCTTGATATCAATGAAGGTGGATTTTGAAAGGTGTTATCCGAGAGTTAATTTATACTGCATAATTCGAGAGGCTGAGGGTGGCTGTGAGGGGAGGTAAAGGAGGCCACTTAGGATAGCACCTTCATGCAATCCACCGTACTTAGACATAAGTCGTAGTTAGATCTCGCCTGCTTAGATATAAGAATAATTCCAATTTTTTTTTCAGCTGCGCATTGTTTCATCGTAAAACTCTTTTGTTTCCACCTTCAGCTACTTGAGCTGCCATCCTAATTTTTTTCGTTCGGGGAACAGCTGCCATCGCCTTTTTTTTTTCAACGTTCAGCTGCAACTTGCCAACATAAATTTTTGCAACAGTCAGCTATTTTTATAGCTGCATCTCTTAATTTTTTTAGTGGCTTTTCTAGACATAAGTCGTAGTTAGATCTCGCCTGCTTAGATATAAGAATAATTCCAATTTTTTTTCAGCTGCGCATTGTTTCATCGTAAATCTCTTTTGTTTCCACCTTCAGCTACTTTAGCTGCCTTCCTATTTTTTTTCGTTCGGGGAACAGCTGCCATCGCCTTTTTTTTTTCAACGTCCAGCTGCAACTTGCCAACATAAATTTTTGCAAAAGTCAGCTATTTTTATAGCTGCATCCCTTAATTTTTTTAGTGGCTTTTCTAGACATAAGTCGTAGTTAGATCCGCCTGCTTAGATATGAAGAGATAATTCCAAACAAAAATTTTTTTTTTCAGCGGCGCATTGGTTTCATCGTAAACTCTTTTGTTTTCCACCTTCAGCTACTTTAGCTGCCTTCCTATTTTTTTTCGTTCGGGGAACAGCTGCCATCGCCTTTTTTTTTCAACGTTCAGCTGCAACTTGCCAACATAAATATTTGCAACAGTCAGCTATTTATAGCTGCATCCCTTAATTTTTTTAGTGGCTTTTCTAGACATAAGTCGTAGTTAGATCTTCGCCTGCTTAGATATAAGAATAATTCCAATTTTTTTTCAGCTGCGCATTGTTTCATCGTAAAACTCTTTTGTTTCCACCTTCAGCTACTTTAGCTGTCATCCTAATTTTTTTGTTCGGGGAACAGCTGCCATCGCCTTTTTTTTTCAACGTTCAGCTGCAACTTGCCAACATAAATTTTTGCAACAGTCAGCTATTTTTATAGCTGCATCCCTTAATTTTTTAGTGGCTTTTCTAGACATAAGTCGTAGTTAGATCTCGCTTGTTTGATTTCAACTTGCTTGCTTGATATCAATGAAGGTGGATTTTGAAAGGTGTTATCCGAGAGATAATTTATACTGCATAATTCGAGAGGCTGAGGGTGGCTGTGAGGGGAGGTAA